TGTTTGCAACCCCTGTCAACTTGATGTCATCGGCAAATTTTGTAAATGTACTCTCTACTTCATCATCCAAGTTGTTAATGAAAATATTGAATAGTACAAGACCCAGGACAGAACAATGTGGGACCCCACTCACTTGATAGGTACTCCTCATTTGACGGGACCGTTGGCAAGTACTCTTTGAGTATGTTTTTTTCAATCAGTTGTCCACTCACTTTATGCTAATTTCATAAAGACCACATTTTCATAGTTTTCTTATGAATATAGAATCATAGAACTGGAAGGGACCTCAAGAGGTCATCTAGTCCAGTCCCCTGTACTCAAGGCAGGACTAAGTATTATCTAGACTATTCCTGACAGGTGTTTGTCCAACCTGCTCTTAAAAATCCCCAATGATGGAGATTCCACAACCTCCCTAGGCAACTTATTCCAGTTCTTAACCACTCTGACCGTTAGGAAGTTTTTCCTAATGTCCAACCTAAATCACCCTTGCTGCAGTTTAAGCCCATTGCTTCTTGTCCTATCCTCAGAAGTTAAGGAGAACAATTTTTCTCCCTCCTCCTTGTAACAACTTTTTATATACTTGAAAACTGTTATCATGTCCCCTCTCAGTCTTCTCTTTTCCAGACTAAACAAACCCAATTTTTTCAGTCTTCCCTCATAGGCCATGTTTTCTAGATCTGTAATCATTTTTGTTGTTGTTCTCTGGATTTTCTCCAATTTGTCCACATCTTTCCTGAAATGTGGTGCCCAGAACTGGACACAATACTCCAGTTGAGGCCTAATCAGTGCCGAGTAGAGTGGAAGAATTACTTCTCGTGTCTTGCTTACAATACTCCCAGAATGATGTTTGGTTTTTTGGTTTTTTTTCCTCCCCCAACAGTGTTACACTATTGACTCATATTTAGCATGCGATCTAATATGATCCTCAGATCTCTTTCTGCAGTACTCCTTCTCAGGCAGTCATTTCCCATTTTGTAGTGTGCAACTGATTGTTCCTTCCTAAGTGGAGTACTTTCCATTTGTCCGTATTGAATTTCATCCTATTTACTTCAGACCATTTCTCCAGTTTGTCCAGATCATTTTGAATTTTAATCCTATCCTCCAAAGCACTTGCAACCTCTCCCAGCTTGGTATAGTCCGCAAAATTTATAAGGGTATTTCTATGCCATTATCTAAATCATTGATGAAGATATTAAACAGAACCGGACCCAGAACCGATCCCTGCGGGACCCTACTGGTTATGTCCTTCCAGCATGACTGTGAACCACTGAAAACTACTCTCTGGAAACGATTTTCCAACCAGTTATGAACCCACCTTATAGTAGCTCCATCTAGGTTGTATTTCACTATTTTGTTTATGAGAAGGTCATGCGAGACCATGTCGAAAGCATTACTAAAGTCAAGATATACCATTTCTGCTACTTTCCCCCTATCCACAAGGCTTGTTACCCTGTGAAAGAAAGCTATCAGGTTGGTTTGACATGATTTATTCTTGACAAATCCACGCTGACTGTTATTTATCACCTTATTATCTTCTAGGTGTTTGCAAATTGATTGTGTATTTATTTGCCCCATTATCTTTCAAGGTACAGAAGTTAAGCTGACTGGTCTGTAATTCCCCAGGTTGCCCTTTTCTAGTCTTCTGGAATCTCTCCCTTCTTCCATGACTTTTCAGAGATAATTGCTAATGGCTCAGATATCTCTTTAGTCAGCTCCTTAAGTATTCTAGGATACATTTCATCAGGCCCTAGTGATTTGAAGACATCTAACTTGTCTAAGTAATTTTTGACTTGTTCTTTCCCTATTTTAGACTCTGATCCTACCTTATTTTCACCGGCATTCATTATGTGAGACGTCCAATCGCCACCAACCTTCTTGGTGAAAACTGAAACTAGGAAGTCATTAAGCACCTCTGCCATTTCCACATTTTCTGTTATTGTCTTTCCCTCCTCATTGAGTAACGGGCCTTCTCTGTCCTTGGTCTTCCTCTTGCTTCTAAGGTATTTGTAGAATGTTTTCGTGTTTCCTTTTATATCCCTAGCTAGTTTGATCTTGATTTGTGCCTTGGCTTTTCTAATTTTGTCCCTACATACTTGTGTTATTTGTTTATATTCATCCTTTGTAATTTGACCGAATTTCCACTTTTTGTAGGACTCAAAAAAGAGTTTTAGATCATTGAAGATCTCCTGGTTAAGCCAAGGTGATCTCTTGCCATATTTCCTATCTTTCCAACGCAGTAGAATAGTTTGTTCTTGTGCCCTTAATAATGTCTCTTTGAAAAACTGCCAACTGTCTACAATTGTTTTTCCCCTTAGACTTGCTTCTCCCACCAAGATAGCACTGTGCACATGAGAGCTTATGCTGGCAAAACTTATGTTGCTCAGGGGTGGGTTTTTTTCATAAGTGCTAGTGTAGACATGGCCTTAGAAAACGTTGTGACAGCGCTCCTCTGCGTTGGTGGGTTCCATGCTTCCATTTAGTGGTGGGCTGGTGTATTCCTCTCTACCTCAGAATTTCCCCATGTCCCTGGGCTTGCTGTCCATACTGTGCCTGAGTACAGTTCCTTCTGGCCTCCCTGACTGGGAAGGGGGAGGGAAGCCTCTTAGTCTCTGGTAGCCCCTCCGGGCCTGGTGGCAACAAACCAGGCCCGCAGTTTGGTCTCTCCCCTCCAGTGAGGTCTCTTCCCTCAGACCTCTGGGGTGCAGAAGGGCTGTTCACCCGGTTGGGTAGGGTTTCCCCTGCCCTTCACCTCTGTACCTGTGGGGTTTTCCCTCCTGGTGCTCGTAAGCATCTGCACCACCCAGCTCTCCAGTAGCACACTTTCCTCCCACCACTCCTATCATGCATGCCTATCTGCCTGGAGGGGAGGCTTTTAACAGGTTCTGGCAGGCCCTTGATTGGCCCCAGGTGTCCTAATTAACCTAGAGTAACCTCTGTTCGGTTACCAAGGGAAAAGGGACCCAGAGCACTGACATCATGCATGCCAAGTGGCTCCAGCTGGTGGTGTCAGGCTCTGCATCCCTGGACCTGTTTGAACAGGTCAGCCTCATGACCCTGAACAGTTTGCAGAAATGCGTCTTCAGCTACAACAGCAACTGCCAGGAGACGCCCAGTGACTACATCATGGCTACCCTGGAGCTCAGCTCCCTGGTGGTGCAGCGCCATCACCGCCTGCTCCTGTACTGTGACTTCCTGTAGCCCTCTGGCCTCACACTGTCACAACATGCTTTATAGTGATAAACTCAAGGGTATCAAGTTCTTTAGCTTAGTGAAGAGAAGGTTAAGAGGTGACTTGATCACAGTTGTTTACTGCCTGTTAGGATATAGATATTCAGGTCTGTCTGTAAAGGCCTATACTCTAAGAATTTAGGTGTATTCTTATCACTTGGCTAGTTACAGGGGTACAAAAGAAAGAATCAAAATCACTGTCTGCTGGTGTAAGGGCCTTCTCTTACTGTGACAGTTTGAGGCCCTGTGCTTAGGCTAAGGCCTTTGGCTAAGCAGCAGAGGCAGCCATAAGCTGGGAAGCGAATGGTCACGTCCTCACATTCCAAACTAGTCACATTGAAATAAGGTGCTATTGGGCTGTTAGGAATACAATCCTGTCCTGATAATGCCTATTGCCTCCAGAGAAAGGGAAGTGCCTAGAAAATATAAAAGGAAACTTAGTTTGATAGCATCCTGTCTGGCAAGAATTCACTTATCAATAGCTGGGATGTGAAATCCTCACTTCTGTATTGTTTTGTCATTATAGTTCCCACTTTGCTATTGTTTGTCTGTATAATCTCTGTCTGGTTCTGTGATTGTTCCTGTCTGCTGTATAATTAATTTTGCCGGGTGTAAACTAATTAAGGTGGTGGGATATAATTGGTTACATAATCATGTTACAATATGTTAGGATTGGTTAGTTAAATTTCAGGAAAATGATTGCTTAAGGTATAGCTAAGCCAAACTCAAGTTTTACTATATAGTCTGCAGTCAATCAGGAAGTGAGGGGGTGGGTTTGTGGGTGGGGGAGATGGGAACAGGGAATGTGGGTGGGGAAATTGGAATCATGTTTTGCTAAAGAGGGGAAATGGAAACAGGGAATGGGGGTAAGGAAATTGGAATAATGTTTTGCTAAGGGCAGGAATGGGAACAGGGACACAGGTGTAAGGCTCTGTGGTGTCAGAGCTGGGAAGGAGGATACTAAGGAAGGAAACTGGAATCATGCTTGCTGGAAGTTCACCCCAATAAACATTGAATTGTTTGCACCTTTGGACTTCGGGTATTGTTGCTCTCTGTTCATGCGAGAAGGACCAGGGAAGTAAGTGGGTGAAGGAATAAGCCCCCTAACACTGCCTGCATGGGGAACAAATATTTGATAATGGATTCTTTAATTTAGCAAAGATGCACCAAGATCCATTGGTTGGAAGTTGAAGCTAGACAAATTCAGACTGGAAATAAGGTGTAAATTTTAACAGCGAGGGTAATTAGCTATTAGAACAACTTACTAAGGACTGTGCTGGGTTCTTTGTTTCTGGCAATTTTTAAATCAAGATTGGCTGTTTTTCTAAAAGATGGGCTCCATTTAAACAGGAATTAATTTAGGGAAGTTCTCTGGCATGTTTCCAGGAGGTCAGACTAGATGATCACAATGGTCTCTTCTGGCCTTAGAATCTGTGAATGTTTGTAACCAACCAGCAATCTTTGGGTTGCCAGGAAGTGTTGGTCACAGGTGGGCCAGGAGCCAAAGTTTGGGACTCACTGCTTTGATCTTGTGCTGGATGGCCAGTTCACCAGTGCTGACGCTGTTCTGAGCTGCTTTTAGCAGGACTTGTATGATAAGTGATGACTCACTCCATAAGCCCTGCCTGCCTGCTGGATGTGACCACCTTCTCCAGATGCCATAGTGAAGAGCACCTCAGGAATTTCTGTAAATAGTGAAAAAAAAAAGCGTTGCCTGTCTATTCAGGAGAGGTCACACAATTTGTCATTCTGCTGTTTTCCTTTGATTAAAGTTGACAGAGCTGAAGAATCTGCAGCAGCAGTACCTGCAGAGTGGCATGGAAACAGCTGAGATCTCTCACTTAAAGGCTCGACTGCAGGAGTATCAGCAAGAGGCTGATAAACAGCATTGTCTCCAAGAACAATTGAGGCAGGACAGCATTTCCTGCCGACAGGAGCTCCACCAGCTCAGGTGAGAACAGCCCTTCTGCATACTGGTCCATGGGGGCAATAATCTCCTTGATGCAAGATTTGGGGGGGTCCCATTGGGAATCGAGCGGATGGCTGGAGGATGAGGTCAGGTTGTTATATGAAACTCATTCTGGAATAAACCAATAGCTCTTCTAATTTTGTTTCTTGCCTCCAGCGGTAGCTAGTATCGCATATTGCAGAGGAATGTATAACTGTCCCCATCCAATATTATACCTAATTTATGTAGTACTAGAACATGGGCGCAAACTTCTCCCTCCCCCACCTGGTGACCAGCTTCTTTTCTGAGGCCCCTTACATTGTTAACCTAATTTGTGTTACTGCAGAAGCCATTCTTACTTATGAGTGACTAATTCTTTATTTTATTAGTTTGATGCCCAACCCACGCTGCTGTCACCCTTAACAAATGCAGTCCATAAATATTCCTACAGCAGTCTGTCCTTCCCCACAGAGCTAAAATTAACCAGCCAGTGAGAAGGCTAAGTGATTTACCTCTTATCCCTGCCTTGCACACTGACAAAAGTTGTTTATCACAGTCTAGTCCAAGCTGTCTGAAGACAAAGGAAAACATATTGTCCAGGGGTACTGTAAGTGTGTAGCAGTGAACATGCTGCAGTCCCCAAGCCGACTGCAAAATGACTTTCTGAATCCTGCTCTGTCTAAGTCCTCAACTGTGTGAATTGGGTATCTCTGTCTCTATGCAGCAGTGTCTTGTTGCAAAGAAACTCTCCTGGCATAGGTTAACTGTGGGGAGTAATGAGACTGTTCCCCTGCTAGGCCTATGCTAGGCTTCCTGAGTACTGCAGGTGACTACACAGGACATACTGTAGGACGTGCCATCTATAATGTTGACTATGTGTTGCTTTGCAGACAGGAGAAGACCACATGGGAGATGCAGAACAAGAGGGAAAAAGAGCAGTACTTGATGGCCTTGGCGGACAAAGACCAGCAGCTAAGTCACTTGCAAAGGATTGTGCAAGATTGTGTGAAGTCACCCCTGTCCAAGACGCAGGTCATAGAGGAGCAATACCAAAGGCAGGTGAGCAAGGATGGAGTTCCCTTCATATTATAGTGGAATTGGAAGCTTGGAATTCAGTCAGGAAGGAGCCAGAGTGATGGAGGATGGATCTAGACTGTTCTCAGTGATAGCAGATGACAGAACGAGGAGTAATGGTCTCAAGTTGCAGTGGGGGAGGCTTAGGTTGGATATTAGGAAAAACTTTTTCACTAGGAGGGTGGTGAAGCACTGGAATGCGTTACCTAGGGAGGTGGTGGAATCTCCTTCCTGAGATATTTTTAAGGTCAGGCTTGACAAAGCCCTGGCTGGGATGCTTTAGTTGAGAATTGACCCTGCTTTGAGCAGGGGGTTGGACTAGATGACCTCCTGAGGTCCCTTCCAACCCTGATATTGTATGATTCTATGAGGAGTGGGGTCACAACATCTGAAAGCAGGTGGGTCAAATGTATTGGAGGGAAGTTTTTATCTGAGCGTCCTCTGTATGTTTCCATTCATGGGATGCACCAACTGTGCAGTGGGGATCATAGAATCATAGATTCTATGATTCTATGATCATAGAATATCATAGATTATCAGGGTTGGAATGGACCTCAGGAGGTCATCTAGTCCAACCCCCTGCTCAAAGCAGGACCAATCCCCAACTAAATCATCCCAGCCAAGGCTTTGTCAAGCCTGACCTTAAAAATATCTAAGGAAGGAGATTCCACCACCTCCCTAGGTAATGCATTCCAGTGTTTCACCACCCTCAAGGTCAGCTCCCAGACTACTGCACTGGGCAGCACAGCATGGGGAGGAGGTGACCAGCCCTCTGTGGAGAAAGAAGTGGTTTGGGACTATTTAGAAAAGCTGGACGTGCACAAGTCCATGGGGCCGGATGCACTGCATCCGAGAGTGCTAAAGGAGTTGGCGGATGTGATTGCAGAGCCATTGGCCATTATCTTTGAAAACTCGTGGCGAACCGGGGAAGTCCCGGATGACTGGAAAAAGGCTAATGTAGTGCCAATCTTTAAAAAAGGGAAGAAGGAGGATCCTAGGAACTACAGGCCAGTCAGCCTCACCTCAGTCCCTGGAAAAATCATGGAGCAGGTCCTCAAAGAATCAATTCTGAAGCACTTGCATGAGAGGAAAGTGATCAGGAACAGCCAGCATGGATTCACCAAGGGAAGGTCATGCCTGACTAATCTAATCGCCTTTTATGATGAGATTACTGGTTCTGTGGATGAAGGGAAAGCAGTGGATGTATTGTTCCTTGACTTTAGCAAAGCTTTTGACACGGTCTCCCACAGTATTCTTGTCAGCAAGTTAAGGAAGTATGGGCTGGATGAATGCACTATAAGGTGGGTAGAAAGCTGGCTAGATTGTCGGGCTCAACGGGTAGTGATCAATGGCTCCATGTCTAGTTGGCAGCCGGTATCAAGTGGAGTGCCCCAAGGGTCGGTCCTAGGGCCGGTTTTGTTCAATATCTTCATAAATGATCTGGAGGATGGTGTGGATTGCACTCTCAGCAAATTTGCGGATGATACTAAACTGGGAGGAGTGGTAGATACGCTGGAGGGGAGGGATAGGATACAGAAGGACCTAGACAAATTGGAGGATTGGGCCAAAAGAAATCTGATGAGGTTCAATAAGGATAATTGCAGGGTCCTGCACTTAGGATGGAAGAATCCAATGCACAGCTACAGACTAGGGACCGAATGGCTAGGCAGCAGTTCTGCGGAAAAGGACCTAGGGGTGACAGTGGACGAGAAGCTGGATATGAGTCAGCAGTGTGCCCTTGTTGCCAAGAAGGCCAATGGCATTTTGGGATGTATAAGTAGGGGCATAGCGAGCAGATCGAGGGACGTGATCGTTCCCCTCTATTCGACATTGGTGAGGCCTCATCTGGAGTACTGTGTCCAGTTTTGGGCCCCACACTACAAGAAGGATGTGGATAAATTGGAGAGAGTCCAGCGAAGGGCAACAAAAATGATTAGGGGTCTAGAACACATGACTTATGAGGAGAGGCTGAGGGAGCTGGGATTGTTTAGCCTGCAGAAGAGAAGAATGAGGGGGGATTTGATAGCTGCTTTCAACTACCTGAAAGGGGGTTCCAAAGAGGATGGCTCTAGACTGTTCTCAATGGTAGCAGATGACAGAATGAGGAGTAATGGTCTCAAGTTGCAGTGGGGGAGGTTTAGATTGGATATTAGGAAAAACTTTTTCACTAAGAGGGTGGTGAAACACTGGAATGCGTTACCTAGGGAGGTGGTAGAATCTCCTTCCTTAGAGGTTTTTAAGGTCAGGCTTGACAAATCCCTGGCTGGGATGATTTAACTGGGAATTGGTCCTGCTTCGAGCAGGGGGTTGGACTAGATGACCTTCTGGGGTCCCTTCCAACCCTTATATTCTATGATTCTATGATTCTCAGCGGTAGCTGATGACAGAACAAGGAGTAATGGTCTCAAGTTGCAGTGGGAGAGGTTTAGGTTGGATATTAGGAAAAACTTTTTCACTAGGAATCATAGAATATCAGGGTTGGAAGGGACCCCTGAAGGTCATCTAGTCCAACCCCCTGCTCGAAGCAGGACCAATTCCCAGTTAAATCATCCCATCTAGAACATCCCAGTTAAATCATCCCATCTAGAACAGTCTAGAGTCATCCTCTTTGGAACCCCCTTTCAGGTAGTTGAAAGCACCCCCTTTCAGGTCGTGGAAAGGAGCTCAAGGGGTCATCTAGTCCAGTCCCCTGCACTCAAGGCAGGACTAAGTATTATCTAGACCATCCCTGACACGTGTTTGGAGATTTTTAAGAGCAAGTTAGACAATGATGGTCCTTCTACAGCCTCCCTAGGGAGTTTATTCCAGTGCTTAACCACCCTGACAGTTAGGACGTTTTTCCTAATGTCCAAACTAAACCTCCTTTCTTCAATTTATAACCATTGCTTCTAGTCCTATGCTCAGAGGTTAAGAAGAACAAATTTTCTCCCTCCTCCTTGTAACAACCTTTTATGTACTTGAAAACTGTTATCATGTCCCTTCTCAGTCTTCTCTTTTCCAGACTAAACAAACCCAGTGTTTTCAATCTTCCCTCATAGGTCATGTTTTCTAGACCTTTAATCATTTTTGTTGCTCTTCTCTGGACTTTCTCCAGTTTGTCCACATCTTTCCTGAAATGTGGCGCCCGGAACTGGACACAATACTCCATCTGAGGCCTAATCAGCGCGGAGTAGAGCGGAAGAATTACTTCTCATGTCTTGCTTACAACACTCCTGCTAATACATTCCAGAATGATGTTCACTTCTTTTGAAACAGTGCTGCACCGTTGACTCATATTTAGCTTGTGATCTACTATGACCCCTAGATCCTCTTCTGCAGTACTCCTTCTCAGGCAGTCATTTCCCATTTGTATGTGTGCAACTTATTGCTCCTTCCTTCGTGGAGTACTTTGCATTTGTCCTTATTGAATTTCATCCTGTTTACAGGTGAGTCTCATCTTACATTGGGGTTACGTTCCGCAGTCAGCACGTAAAACTAAAATCGCGTATAGTCAAAATTACATTGAGTGTAATGGCGGGCAGAATCGCCCGTACTACAGGTATAGTATTGTCAAAGTTTGACTCAGACTCACAATTTATCAGACCACTCTGTTTTATTAGCAAAGCTGCTCTGCTAATACATTTAGAAGTGAGCCCCCCGAGTGTGGCTTGTGTCTTTTAATTTATACAGTTTTTTGGAGAACAAGTTACAGAGAAGTTACAGACAAAAGAAGAAAAAGATTTTAGTCACCACCCTTCGATATCCCTGAGACCAGTCACGTATTTTCAATTACCTGCCACCCTTAACAATCTCCTTTAATAGCTTCCAGTTAACTTAACTAATTGCCCTTCACACCTTCCATTCTGATGCCTGCTTCTTAGATGTGCTGTCTCTGTCTTAATTGCTTCTCCATTCAAAAGCTAACTGTCCCTACGTGTGCTCCCTCAGATACTTTGTAACATGTTTTGGCATGCCCTCTCATATACAATGTATCCAGCATGTCCCCTTATACAACGTTATACAATGTTATACTTCCACAATCCCCCCTTTTGGTCAAGGCTACGCCCATGACCAATGACTTACTGGATTCCGTACATCAATCGTTCTTTTTCATTACTTTCACTGGTGACATTTAACAACATTAGATTAGCACTCTGGTTAGGGGTAACCTGATGGATGGTGTGTCTTGTGCAGTTTTGGATACAACAAGAAATCAATTGAAAACACACAAAGATTATTAGAATTCCAAATAGGATAGTCAGGATTCCTTGAAACAACCAGTTTCCCAGACTAGAGAAATTGAATAAGTTACTTATCCATTCCCACAAGGAACTTGGTTCTTCGTGGGGAAGGTATGCAATTTGCTCCAGATGGCTAGCACGATTTATTACCTCATTAGTATTATCAGGTATGTATACACAGCATTCTGTTCCAATTAGAGCACAGGTCCCTCCTTTGGCTGCCAGTATTATATCTAATGCCCGACTGTTTTGGAGGGCCACTTGTCGGACCGCTCCTGCTTCTTTGGCGAGAGCTTTTAAGCTCTCTCCTGTTTCATTGGCCATGATCTCAACCACCGCTTGTAACCTTAAAAGCCTTTTTGCATGGTGGATTACCCCCCCTACTGGGACTAAAGAAATGCCAACAGCTTCTTCCCAAGTTAGGGGGCTTATGTTATCCACACACCATTTAGCATCTGGCAAGTCCCTCCTTTTTCACCTGAAATTACGGAGGCGATTTCGTGGGAGGGATTGAAGCACCCGGAATTGTGGGAAAAGCTGAGCAGGATAACAGATACCTGACCAATTTGCTGGTAACACAGTGTAAGCATTTTCCCCACAAACCCAATGATGTCCCCATTAAAGCTGGGAAGGGTTGACTGCAACCCTTTGACATGTAAGAATTTACGAAGGAGGAATAGTATCTCCCAAAGGGCACAGGATGATTTTCACTGGGAGAAGAGGTAGCATTCACACGACATTTGTAGATGGTGCTGTTTTTCTCAG